AGACCTTTTACTTTTTTATTTTATTTTTTTTCGATTACAGCTTGATTCCACACTGTATTTTTGGTACAAGTGTGGAATTTTCAGCGTGGATATCGGTAGCCCAAAATTCGCAGGCCGAATCGACTGAAGACCTTGTGCTTTGATATGGCAACTAGTAGGGGATACCAGTAAACCATCAGGTTTATATAAACATTCCATCCACAAAGATATTGGATATTGTCACCGGTATATACTTTGCAAATATAGAGGCGCGTGTCATTTTCAAGGTTAGGCTATTTCGTTATCGTCCATAAGACTTACAGTCTCGTCGTGCTTACACTTGTACATAAGTGTCAGTTTATGCTGTCGTACATAATTCAAATAAAGTTTGAGGATGAAATGTTAAGAAAAAAGGTAATTCACGAGGACCTAGATTTATACGTAAGTATGGGTGAGTAAACCCAGTTTGAGAATGCACATGGACAGTGTGGGCTAAGTAAGCAATTTTAGTCAGCAAAGACGTGGGTACAATGCAGCAAAATTTATCCGCTTTGCCAATATTGGCCACTTTTTTGCCGTTTGCCCATGATCCGAAAAATGTTCATGTTACAGTTCACTGCATTTCATTGGTAGATCTTAGTTTATAAATTTACGTGCGTTAAAGTACGCAAGGGATTTGACACATATATTTGTCGAATGCATAACAACGGGAAACTTGACGAAAAGTTTTGGGTAATTTATGGGGTGAACTGAGGCGGTTGGAGGGGGTGGTTGGGATATAAATTTTAGATTCTTCTGAAGGTTTTACATAGATTTTCCCGCTAATTTTCCATCTGTATATATAACTCCATGATAGGAGTTCCAGTCCTTCCTGGTCCGGAAGCCGATATGCAATACAATACAAACCAAGTGATTATAAAGCACACTGACCGACTGCATGCATCTGCAGATGCATGACGTGTTGGCAAGTCATGTTCATATATGTGGTCACGTGATTTGCTGTTGTTACCAGACACGACTGAACCCAAACATCCGATTCACTCATTAGAAGCCACGTTAATAGTCCAGAAAACATGCTCCGATTATCATTGTATCTGTGTATTGGACTCCATTTTGGTGTTTTCCATTATCTCAACCTAGATTTCAGATGTATTGGTTGAGGATAGAAGGCTTAGAGCTTATGTTAACCCTTTTCTAGTAGATTTCTGTGGTTGTCCAAACCCTTCTTGAACGAATCAGTTGAGGTTGCAGACACCACTTCTTCTGGGAGTCAGTTCCAAGAGTTTATGACTCGATGTGAGAACCAGTACTCAACAGCAATATGATTTCTCCTTGGCTTTTGAACTCTCCTGGTATGTCCTCTAAGGTGTTCCAACCTGGTGGGAAGGAAAAGACAGAATAGGTCAGGTCCGTATTCATTATTTAAAATTTTAAACATTGTGATTAAATCTCCTGTCTGCCTACGGTATGACAGTGAGAAGAGATTTAAATTGTCTAGTCTTTCCTCGTATGATAAGTTAGCTATGCCGTGAACCATACGTGTTGCCTTCCTTTGAACACTTTCTAGAATGTGTGAGTCCCCTTTTAGACAAGGACTGGCGGCCTGGATGCAGTTTTCCAGTGACTTCCACTTCGTGGAGAATGAGAGACCTGTCAGAGAGATCAGGTTTGCTTGTCGTGGCTTTCTTGCTCTGCGGCGTAAGTGTGTTTCTGTCTTTCGTGGGCGGTGTGGCCAATTTGTTATCCTTACCTCGCTTTTTGCGATAGACTACATTACGCCATTCATTGGCGTCCTCTTCGCTAATCGTAGTAGGATTTATCTGCCTGCTACTCACTGGTATGGATGAGGCTTGATGCGCCAGTCCCTGAGTGACTTGAGCTGCAAGTTTTCGACCCCTGGTACGCCTCTTCTTCGCGGCAGTCTTTCCATTACTGTCACTGGAGGGCTTATCCAGTACCGTGGGGCAGCCTGAGTGTCTGTAATGTGGTGGGTGTTCTTCTGTGCTGAAGAGCATTCACTTATTGGCAACGACGCACCGGGGACATGTGCTGTTTTGTCAATGACGCTAGTCACGTCATCGTTATCTGAGCAATAATCGGTATTCTCCTGTGGTGGAGGACGCTTGCAGTTCATGAGCTTTAAAGCCCCACTGAGAGTAGCAATGGCTTCTGTAATACGGAATTTAGTTGTAGTACAGCAGTCGCTGCACAACCAGTTTGCTAGAGGTTTGTAGCAGCGTTTGTATGCTGCAGGAGGATCCATATTAACGATCGCTAGACAGAGTTCTCACAGTACATTCAAACATTGTAAGGAGAGATTAAATACAGGTGGTATAGATGCAATTTGATCAGAATCATGCAGTTAAAGAATCCAGGTAAATGCCTGGAAGATATTATGGCGAGATTCTTAGTGTAGCCCTTTCGAATGAGTCGGGATCTCTTTTCGAATACCTATGAACTTTTACTGTTAAGTAAGATGCTCTATACAACCCGTTGTTAGAAATGCTGGCACGACGTAATATCTCGTTGGCAAGATTACTTTTTCCAAGCAGAATATTTGTCATCGATTAGTCACTTTATATTTGACTAAATACCCAGTTTTTCATTCATATCTGTGTCGTTTACTCATATTACTGACTGATCAAATCAAGGCATCTACATTTGACCAATTGAGTCAGTCAAATGCATGCATATATACTTAGGTTTTCTGTCTTTTGAAACTTATATGAATTTTCCCGCGACTTTATTTTACGCTTTCTTTCGTCAAATGAAACAAAACCACTGCAATTCATTCACTCCAAAAAAAGTTATTTAGTGTCTAAAATCATTCCTTCGTCGCCTAACTCAGTAGGATCCCCTGGTGATTATATTTTTTCGAAACGATGTGTTTTTTATTAGTAACCTTAGTGGTGTATTTTCAGTACTTATTGTGAGTTAATTCATAAGCTGGCAAGTGAACGAATACCCATCTGATCATGTTAACGTATTTACTTTATCATAAATCAGTTCAGTACATGTCCACATACACAGTGACGGTGATAAATCAGTATGATGTGTTACTTTCAAACTAGATGGTATCAAATATCGTTCAATTGACTGCCACTGAAGATATGCTTGTTAATAACTCAAAAGTGGGATTCATTTAACTGTATGATTGGTTGAAGCTTTTTGTTTAACTGCTTTTAAGCTGATCAGACTTGATTCAGATTAAAATCAGATAGTTTTACTATATAGGTACAATTTTCTCTGATTTTAGTAACATGTAAAACGTTATGTTTATTTTATATATATATATATATATATATATATATATATATATATCAGAGTTTTGTGACAAGTTAGCCAAATCCACTGGTGTATTTACGAAATCACAGAAGTTACGGCACATTATTTGTGCACCGACTTTTTTTGAGTCTGGAATGTCAGAGAATTAATACAAATGGTCTTTTCATACAGTAACAGTTCGTGACAAAATAGTTCAATCGCAACTATAAAAACTTTGAGATCAAAATGAAATGATAACCAGCCTTTGCGTTTTTGAGACTCCTTCAAGTACACCTAACCGTCATTTTAGGGATTCTCAACGTTATGTTTTACATACATACCGTCTCAGTGCTTTCCATTGTGTATTGTCACAATAATTTTTACTATCAAACCCTAGTCTCTACACCTGTAATCATATGGCACATCTAAATGCAAACTTGGTACAAAAGTATAAAACTTGGGCACTGTGGTAGAGTATAACTCCATTACGAGACATGACCACTGAGAGTGGAAGACATGAAAAGACTAGCTGTCTTTGATCATAGGTGCCTGCGCTCTATCTCCCGTGTGAAGTGGTATAATAAGGTGAGCAATATTGAGGTTAGGCGTCGAGTGCTAGGTAAGCAGGAGAAATCACTCGACGAGGTTGTGAAGTTACATAGACTGAGATGGTTAGGACATGTGTTACGTATGTCTAGTCATCGCCTTCCTCGACGAGCAATGTTAGCTGATATAGGATCAGGCTATAAAAGAGCTAGCGGTGGTCAAACCAAAACATGGCACCAGTCAATGAAATCTACAACAGTTAGTCTAAGCCACTTAGGAAGGTGTAGACTTCCTGACTGGTTGGGGGTCCTCGGGACGGTAAAAATTAATGGTTGGGAACAATTGGTGACATGGCTCAAAATCGTTCTCAATGGCTGGCGCAGATGCATCCACTCCTTGTGACTTATGATTTTCAATGAAACTGTTTTGTTCTTCGTTATTACTATTCCTTTATCTCACACCTCTGTTTACTGTCTCCACTATGCATTTCTTCTACTTTCTTCCCTTGCTTTGTGTGCTACAAGGAGGGAGTGTGGCGACTTGAACTGACGCACATCGGTGAAATGTTCTATGTCGAAAACAGACAGACAGATAACTTCATTATGGATACCATTTTATTTTGATAAATCTTATCCATAATGGAGTTAGACTTGGTACAATATGAGCGCCTAGAGATGTATCACGCGAAAACAATACAACAGTTTATAAAGTTAGAGTAATTAAGGAACAGGATCATAAAAAAAAGAAAGTGTACTTATCAAGAGCCTTTATCACTTGCTGATACCTTTAGAAAGAGAAGGAAGGAGGAAGTCGCAGCATGTTTGCAGTTAATTACAATCCTCAACCAAATCGGATTACGTCTCGAGTTGCTGGTTCCGATTGTCCATCTGACCCTACCTAGGCAGTCGTAATCCATAAGCAGATGCTAGCCTAAGAGATATGCTTCATCCCAAAGCTCCATCTTGTAAAAGTTTTGTTTTAAGTGGAAAGATATTTCCTTATTTGAGTACCTTTGTACTAACTATCACTAAGTTACCTTCAGTTTCTTCTGAGAATGAGTGGTTCCACTAGTTCTGCACCACCAGTTAAATAACTAGCAGTCGAAATCAATTATTTTTTCTGTAGAATAATAATATTCTCATCACATATGAACAAAAGATGGTTCTCTTGGTTGCAGGTGAATATACTGTGGTGAGATAAATTTTGAATTGATGACGAAAAGAGTTCGAACTCAGAAGCAACTGTCAGTGAACGACATTGAGGACGAGTTACCTGAACAGATGAAGTGTTGCAAGTGGGAACCATCGAAGTGGCGTATTCAACTCGATAACATTCGAAAGATGCGCGAAAGTCGCGATGCGCCTGTAGACACTATGGGTTGTGAAAGACTAGCTAACGAATCAGAAGATCCAAAAGTATGTTGTACACTTAAGTGGTAATAAAGTTTAAAGACGTTCAGATTACAGGTATTGATAAGTCTTATGCTTTCAAGTCAAACGAAAGATCAAGTTACAGCTGCTGCTATGGAACGTTTGAAGTCAAGAGGATGTACTTTAACAAATTTAATAAATATGAAGACAGAAGAATTGCAAGGATTGATATATCCAGTCGGTTTTCACAAAGTATTGTTCAATTTTTCTTTATTATAGTCTGTCCTAGACCAAAGCCGTGAATATAAAAAAGACATGTGAAATCCTCAAAGAAAAATTTGACTCAGATATTCCAAGAAATGTTAAGGAATTGTGCACACTGCCTGGTTAGTATCATTTACAGTATTACATAATATTACCTTAGGTGTCGGTCCGAAGATGGCGCATTTAGCAATGCAGTGTGCATGGAAAGAAGTAACGGGTATTGGTGTTGATACACATGTGCACCGAATCGTCAACCGTTTAAGATGGACTAAGAAACCAACTAAAACCCCAGAAGAAACTCGTATTATGCTGGAAGAATGGTTGCCAAGGTAATGATTCATATACAACTAGCAAGTGTTTGGTTTATATACTCTAAGAGAAGGCGAAAACGTGTCATTATTGGAACCCCTGAGAAGTTGAATTTTAACAAACAAAATAAGTTCAGAAGTACTGATCACATTGTATCTAAAATTGGCTGTGGACTAGTGACTTAAGTTCTAAATATTTTCGTCAGTCAACTAAGTTGTACTGGATTAGTGTAGAAATGCTTTTCAACACACACAATTTATACACTTTGGTCAGACGTTTTCTGGGATCAAGTCTGGTCACGAGTTGACATCAATCAGAGAAAAAGTTGGAAACATGGGGTACTGGATAGGCGTTTCGTTCTAGTTTGGTGCTCTTCACCAGTACTCACTTTTGGCTGATGTCAACTCGTAATCAATCAAATCCCTCCAGACTAGTACCTGATAATGCTTGCTAGCTGCTGGCTCTATATAGGAAGTTACCTAGAGTTCTGTTGAAAGGTCGTAACCGGTCGAGCCCACGAAGTAACGTAAGAGAGCAGTTACTCGCGTATTACACTGACTGACGCTTGCGTTATATGTGTCACGAATCAGTAGGAGTTGTAATTTATAGGTGATTTGATTGGATCCCAGTTACCGAATGACCTGCTAGCTCCCCTTTAATTCAGAAGGTCCAGGGTCGTAACCCCGGTCGGTGGGTCCTGCCGATAAGTCCCAAATTAGGACCAAACAGCTATCCAGTACTCCCTGGCTTTCATTGGTTCTCTAACTGATGTCGACTCGTCGTCGAACTTGTAACTAATTAAATCTGTGCAAATTAGTACTTGATGGTTCCCTGGGAAGAAGCAGGAATACGGCGAAGGGGAATGGTTGTGGAGAGTAGATTACTTTGAAGTCTAATCATACTGTCTGCGTCTTGCTTTACGCATGTATATCACTTAATCAAAGTAGCTTGTAGGGACTTACCGGAAAGCCTTAGAAAATAGTTTTCCTTCACCTACGGATATTACACAAGTATTCGATGTTATCTAATACACTAAGATTTATCGTCAAAACATGTTTAAGGGTTAGAAACAGCTAGTCTGCGAACCTGTGCCATACGTTCACCCTTATCGTAGATGCCTCAAACCCGGTTAAATTTCATTTTTATAAGATTACCAGTAGTTTGGACAATGTCAAGTTAGCCACGTCATCTGGTTAAGCTTGTAATCTCATTTTGTTTGAGTGTTGGATTGTCCACACTCTGGTCTTGGTTTCAGGTTAAAATAACTCTGTTGATCTAAGAAATAAAGTTTGCTTCATTTAAAACACAATGGTTGTTAGTGTTTTGAAGCTGTGGTTAATTAGTCTAGCTACTTACTGGAGCTTCAGCCGATGTCATAAGTTCAAACCACTCTGTCTGCTAAAAGTTCTTTAGGCAGAAAAATAAAACTATCAAACTGCTAACAGTTTGTGTCACTTCTCTGTAGTTATTGAGCAAACAAAATGCTATTCAGAATAAGGTTTTCTATATTTTTTGTTAATAAGTATGCAAATGATCAATGCTAAAATAAGCGATACGATATGAAAAAGAATTTGTACTTTGGGTATACCACAAAATCGGAATAATCACAAGTGTAAAAGTGGTATGTGAACCTAAATAAACTAATCTACCTACTAAAACAATAGCTATTTTGGAATAGGTCTTGCTTATACCTGTACCACAAATACTGTTTGGAATAAAGCTTATCCCGATTCAAGTCACAGTGTATATATCTGACTAGGTGGACTTTGATCTGTGGTCACAACTCAAGTCTTGTGTTGGACGCATTTAAGTAACGAAGTTGAAGTATTTTAATCATGATTTAGGGGACTCAATGATAGCCTGTAGGTAATTCATATCTATAAGATAAAGTATAACAAGCATTTAGATTGTTTCGTTGTAATATCCAGTTGTGATGTTCATATTTTGACACTATCTTTCAACTGATTCTGTATAATTGACTGCTCTTTCAAACGTTATCATGTCACCCAGTAATTTCACTTTGCCTCATCAATACCTGCACACTTTACAAGAACTGACCTACTCCCGACTGAGTTAGTCTAAGTTTATTGATAAACTGTAAACGATTGCACACTAACACCAGTGGCAAAATCTTTCGTATAAATATAGATAATTATTGTTTTCACCCACTGTAGACACCATCACTAATCAACCACGTGTAATTTATGAATCCTTTTTAGTGACTACTGGAGAGAGATTAATTGGCTACTAGTCGGTTTCGGTCAACAAATATGTCGTCCAGTGAATCCAAATTGTGTGGATTGTTTAAATCGGTCAATCTGCCCATCATCCACGTCAAAAGTGAAAGCAACAACAACGAAGAGTAAATCATGATATGAAGGTGTCACATAATGACAAGTGATTTTATTCCTATTCCCACATCACAATCAAAGCATTTCATCATCTCACAAAGATAGATTATCAAGTTATTTTTTTTTAAATAAATGAAGAATTTATAATCATCAATTTGTGATCTGTTTCATCGTGTGTGTGTGTGTGTGTTCACAGTTAGTATGGATCGAAGATGGAAAGAAGGAACTAAGTTTTCCTGTTAGATACTGACCACACTGAAAGGCAAAAACACAAAAAGGAAATAGTAGTTCGTTTAGTTAAATGAGGTGTTATTAGTTGAGTAGAGGTGGCTATATAAATAACAACAATAATAATGATAACAACAAAAATGACAATGAAAAATATAAATAAGCTATCGTTGTTTGGGAACAAGTGCTCAGTGAAATATGCGACTTCAATGAGAATCGGTAATTAAACGACAGAGTTGTATGGCAGTAAAAATTGCCGACGGAAACCGAAGCCATCTAAAAACCATCACAATCTGAAGTAGTATCCGTTCGTGAATCAGTAAGCTCTTTTTCTACAAAAGACAAGTGTTTTCAGCTTTATCTGGGAAGGAGGGCATTGTATATCCTAGATGCAACCAGTTGACTACAACTTCTTTCAGCATAGGAGTATAAAAAAAGGAAGATATGCGAATGAATGAAGAAATATTGACAACTGTATCATGTTACTTGGCTGGTATTGAAAATATAATGCGCCGTTACTTTAACTGACAACATTTATTCACTAATAAACAATTAGTGATAAGCTTAAATATAGCAGTTTACAGATAGGAGTGAGATCGCTTGATGCCTATATTTTATTGATTTTGTGTTTAAATAAGTGAGTATTAGAGATATAGTTAAGAACTTGAAGTAAAATAAATACGTCAGCATTTAGTTACATGTAAAGAACACAGTTAGGGATGGGATTGATTTCATCTCAATTTCCTTTGAAATCTCAAAATATTTGGAGTACCATGTTTGGTATGAATGACAGCAGAAATATCGTCAAGATAAGGAGCAAAGACTACGACGCACACACACACACAACTGTTTGATGCGAGAACCACTCCCACCAATCAGAAGAGTATATCGGTTTTGAAAATATTTTTACAGTTTGTTTGTTATCCACAGGAAATGGATTAATTTTGCGCGACTATCGCTCCCATTGGTATAGTGATGACCTGAATTGTGTTGACTTACAGTCGAGGAATCTACGCCCCTTAGGTTCTAAAAAAATCTCAAATGCGTTATTTGACTATTGTTAGCCTACATTAGTGTTTGGTTAGGTGTTCACTTGAACATCATGGAAATTGACGTGGAGTACCCGAAGAAGACTAACCGACTGGAAAAACACGTGTAGATATGTGACTCATAAAGGCTGTTCTGCTGTCTATGGTGGTAGTCTGTGAGAGTTAAGAATTTGTTCAGGGCATTTAAAGGAGGTATCACATTACATAAAAGAAATGCTTTTTCTGTAGTAGGTACAGTTCAATTTTGGTAGAAATGTGGAATAAAGTATATGCTGGTGGTCACGCTGAAATCACGAATTGCTAAAGTTAAAATTCATAAAATAACCACTGAGTCGGGCCCTAGTGGCTGAATGGTCTACCAACTTGCACGTCTTGTAACCCGAAGATCCTGGGTTCGAATTCCGCCGTGTGTGAATACTGCCGATGAGTCCCACACACTAAGACAAAGTGGCTATCCAGTACTCCTGGTTTTTTTCTCTCAAATTCCCACAAATTAACCTTAAAATATATGCAACTGGAATCACGTTATGTAACACACTTTGAAGCAATTTAGTGTGAGAGGGTGTTTGGTGTAATTTTCAACTAGCCTGGAATTCTCGACGATACTCCAGCATACCTGATCTTCATCCTTGTTAACATGAAACTGTAGACGACTCTCAAGAAGCAAAGTTTGCGTCAAATGCTTGCATGAATATAACATAAGCAATGGAAGGAATGATATTGGAAAAATACGCGACAAAAACGGTTTATGCGAGTGGATTTATACGCAACTGTGCGTGTGACATCGTAGTAACTATCACAGTATCAGTCGAGTACTGCCTACAGTCTCTGTTCACTGTTTTATGCTATCCCAATCGAGCCGTTAGACTTTTAAAATCATGCCTGCCTGAGTAAAGAATTGTATGCATGATACCACCGGTAGACGAATGACTAGTGATCCTAATTAGCCGATGCAGTGTTGTTGATACACCTCTATTTTGTTGCATGTCTTGAAAAGAGTAAAACAGTCGCCTTGTGTTTAACCGACTTCATTTCATCGAATCAATGTATGGACGCCTTTCAGGAGCCTCATTTAGTTAGAACTGAGTATGTTCGAGTCCATTTCTTAGCTGTAACTGATAAAAAAATCAGTTCTCTCTAGAAATAAAAAGCCAGTTAACCCCAGCATAGAGCCGCTCGCTCATGCATACATCTAGTGTATTACTGCTTTCATCAACTGTAGACACCATCACTAATCAACCACGTGTAATTTATGAATCTTTTTTAGTGACTACTGGAGAGAGATTAATTGGCTACTAGTCGGTTTCGGTCAACAAATATGTCGTCCAGTGAATCCAAATTGTGTGGATTGTTTAAATCGGTCAATCTGCCCATCATCCACGTCAAAAGTGAAAGCAACAACAACGAAGAGTAAATCATGATATGAAGGTGTCACATAATGACAAGTGATTTTATTCCTATTCCCACATCACAATCAAAGCATTTCATCATCTCACAAAGATAGATTATCAAGTTATTTTTTTTTAAATAAATGAAGAATTTATAATCATCAATTTGTGATCTGTTTCATCGTGTGTGTGTGTGTGTGTTCACAGTTAGTATGGATCGAAGATGGAAAGAAGGAACTAAGTTTTCCTGTTAGATACTGACCACACTGAAAGGCAAAAACACAAAAAGCAATAATAATTGAGGTGACAGGTTTTGGATAATTAAATATGATTATTAGTCGTTTGTTGTTAACAAGTGTGAGTTATGTACATAATGATAACCAACGAGATGTATTTTTATTTACAAGTTCGTGTGAAAAATGTAGCATTAATGTCATACGAAGACGCCGTATAAGAAATCTTACGTAGGATTCTGAAGATGATTGTATGTACTACTGAGATTTATCAGTAGGATAAACAGGGAGATTGACAGGAAGGAATACAACTTGAAAGCAACACTTTACGTCAATGACCTGCAGAGGTAGAAGGGTCTACTTCTCAAACGTCGATTTAGTTTACATTGTGAACATGAAATAACCTCATTGGACAACGTGTTCAACCTTGGGCCAGTCGCCAACCATTCACAACAGTTTGTTTTTCTCCGAAGTGTCGCAAAGAATGTATAAATCTGATGCGACTTTCCGTAATAAACGTCCGTTACCCAGCTTCTTATCTTCTGTCGTTACAATATTATTACTGTGTATTATATTATATAAAATTATCTAATATAGTCTTACATTGCCCCCTACTTTTGTACTAGAACTGACGCTAGTAAGATGAAATTTTCTATCAGTAAATGTTGTTTATGTGACTGTAAAACTAGCAATAGAAACAAATATTGACTACATTTTTGTGTTCGTTTTGATGGTTGATTCAGAATGGTTACTTAAGAATGTATCCATTATCATCATACAGGTCAGTGTCGTGCGCCTGAATAACTCAGTAGTAACCTCTATGACTGCAGTATTGAGTGACACAGGTTGTATACCAAGAGGGGGAATGAGCTCCCTCAAGTTTTCACGAGAACGCCGTACTGATAACCACCAGTAAGTACCAAAACTAGGTCTAAGGCATCCCGACAACTGCATGCGACCAGCTGACATCAATGCAGAGTGCACTGAGTTGGCGAGCTATGTGGTTTGGTGACTACATTGCAAACTAGAGGGAAAGAATTCAGTCTGCACCAATACCAAGGACTAGACGCATACCACTGGTTACTATTGAGTGATCGATCAAGGTATGAAAATGAATTATTTGGTGTATCTATGGTATGGAAGATTTAAGTGCACACATAGAGAAATTCCCTTTCATTAGTTGCTAGGATGTAATTAGTGTCATGCGTCTGATCTTCGTTTGGTGCGAACTGAATTTTACCAGTCACATTTGCAATGTGGTCATCATCACGGTGCACTCCGCACTGTTGTTATCAGATGATTGTAGGCAATCTGTAGGAAGCTTTGGACACCTAGATTTCGTGCTTGTTGAAACTTATCAGTAAGTTGTATTTGCAATCTTGAAGGAACTTATGTCCTTTCTGATATTCAAATCTGGGATACCCTATTGCTGCAGTCATGAACGTTACCAATGAGCTATTCAGACTCTTAACTGACCTCCTGTAGGACTCAAATGGATACTTTAACTAGACAGTAAGTAGAGCTGTCTCGTCCTTCGTTTGTTGATCTGGTTTACAATCTCGGAAGGGACATGAATTCCCTTCAAGAATGCAGACGATTGCCAACCAGCATGAAACCTACATGGTTCAAGGGTTCCTTCCGATGGCTTTCAAATATCCAAAAAAGAAATGTACATATTAGAAAAAAAAGCGTACACGATCAAAAAGTTCCCAGTCTTAGTTCTACTTTTCTAAAATTCACTGTGAATAAGTGAATTTAAGTGACAGAAAATATAAAACCACGTATATCCAAAATTATTTTTGCCTGTTTTATATAGTTTCCGAAATTTGACTGTTAAAAAGCAAGTTTATTTAACAATTATGTTTCTGAAGAATTCAAACGATCTACTATTATTATAAACTCACCTATAATAATCACAAGAATTACAAGACCCAGCATAGCCAAAATAGCCCACATCTGTAAGTTGAAAAAAGGGTTTTTTTTTAAAATTTATAATACTGCTGATTACTTTAACTACTCAACCGAAATTCTTGTCAAGTATAATAAATGTAGGAATATGGAAATAATACTTTCAGATAGTACATGAAATTTCCTCGATTGTACATTGGCAAGTATCTCTGATTG